TTTCTTTCTTTCTTTCTTTCTTTCTTTCTTTCTTTCTTTCTTTCTTTCTTTCTTTCTTTCTTTCTTTTCTTTTCTTTTCTTTACCAGGAATACTACAACACTTTAACCAGAACTAAAAATTCTATTCATCATAATTTTTCTCTCAAACGGGCTTTTTTCACGAGTCTCAGAACGAAGCGGGGAGCAGGAGTCAAAGGAAGCCCCGTAGAGCCTCGTCAGCATCGAGGAAGATGCAGCGAGTCTCACTGGTTCAATCTCACACTTCAATCCCAGGCAGCTCGGTGTATACAGAGGCACCTCAGGGGACCCGTGTGGCTGGACGAGGAGGGCCTTTGAATGGATGGCCTTGTGTGTGGCCGACAGAAGAGGGAGGCAGGGGAAGAAAGGGGGAGAGAAAGTGAGTCTGTGTGCCTTCAGTGCTCAGACAAACATACTATTGATGGACTCAGATATTAGAAGAATTTCTGGCACATATAGTGATAAAGTATTGAAAAGAGCTGGAACATTTTTCCTTTCATCTGTTTTTTTCATACATATATATATTTATGGGACTATAAACGAGAAAAATTGAAGTACTTTTAATATTTTTTTCTTTTTTGAAAAGTGGAGATATTTGCAATTTCTTCATTGACAGAAAAAAAGAAGTGTTTGTTCCTAACCTGCTTAGACACCGTTTTTATTAAAGCAGCGATCTTGAGTCACAAATTTACACTAACAACCATTGTTAGGCCTATATTACTGCCTGCCCTGCTTTTCACAGTTTTGAGAGAAAACAGAAGCCAATTCGTGAATACACCTAAAAGTAAGTTCAAACACTGAAAATGGGATTTCTTTCATTCACATTGCTTTTGTTGTGTGTGAAAGAAACTTGTATTTTGTATTTGCGATTTCTTTTAAGCACATCACCTCAATCTGCCAAATGCCAGCATACCTCTGTGTGTGCCGTGGATCCGTTCTCCACTTCCTATTGCTTTTTGTGACACGATCAAACCTTTGAGGCAGAAGATGAACTTTGGAGAAGTACTTTGAGTTGTTGACAAAAAAAAAACATTTCCAAATATGAATGCAGAATAAAAAGAGAAGCTGAAAACAAAAATACCAAGAAACAGCAACCAAATGCTTTCATATTTTAGTCATTCAGTCATTTTATTTTAGCTATATCATTTCAAAATTTGTACTTGTATGATAAAAATCAGTGTGGCACACAATATCTCAAAACAATACTCGAGTAAAAGTACAAGCATATTACCATAAAATGATTTGGTAAAAGTTACTGAGTATCAAAAGTTAATTTCTAATGGAAAATATACTTGCATTTTAAAAGTGAAAGTAGTGAGTAAAAGTGAGCGGTTAGGATGTCCAAAATATTTGGAGGTGACCTCACCAAAAGGGCGTCAGAATGGTGTATATTTATACTTCTCATCCAACCTGTTCAATTAACTCTATTCAGGAGACGTAATTTATCTGGATAGATTTTTATTTATCTAACAAGCAATAACAAGTCAGGAAGAAAAGAAACCAAAATGAAATAGTAATGATTTTTTTTTTGCCTTGCATTTTTCCAAAAATGTTAGAGTAGAATGTACAGATAACTCTGTGAAAGTGTAAGGAGTAGAAACAAAAAGTCAACTGAAAAATATATTTTCAAGTAGATAGACATCCAAAATCTTTACACAAGTACAATAACAAAGTATTTTGTCTTTTACAGCTCCGATAAAAACTTAATAAGCTTAAATTTGTTCTTAGTGAAAGACTATTTTTGTCATCTTGTTTTATTGGTTTATAGTTATCTGCAACAATGCAGAACAATTTGATTAAAAGAAGAGAGGGAAAAAAGTACAACACGTAATAAGGTCAAATAAAAAAAACTGCCATTTAGAATTGTTTGAACAAGTGTAAAATACAGTGGTGAGGGCTTGCATCAGTGGCACTGGCAGAAATAATTGACACTTCTACAGTGACAGCAGTAATCCATATACGTTTACTGAGTCTCTGGAGCAACAAATGCTGCTTTCAAGACAAAATCTTTTTTCAAGAACAACCTTTCATATTTCAACGAGACAAGACAAAACCATGTTCGGCGCACAATAAAAAGGCAAAGCTGTGGAAGGATAAGTTATCTGCCTGAAGCCCTGACAATACAGACTGGATGAGGAATTTTGAAAAGACAAAACTCAACAACTTCAGCTCTTTTCTGTCACGAACTCGTAGACCCTGTTTGCAGAACGACTGGAACAAAACAAAACCTGAAATAATTTCTCACTTTGTATTCTTGACATGGAAATAAAATATGTTATGTTTTATTCTTGTGAAGTTGAATCATAAATGAAGAATTGGTAAAAGCTTGACAGATTTTTTTTTCCAACCAAGGAATGGATGTCTTCGTAATAAATTTTTTTTTTTCATTTAGCAGATGTCTATTCAAAGGGACTTACAAGTCAATACACACAAAGACAGAAGCAGTGAGAAGGTTTGAGAATAATGGATGCAGATCAAACCTCTTATCATTCAAGTGGAGGTTTATAACTCATTACTGTACCACAGCCCACACATAAACATCCGTTTCTGCTTCTGCTGGCTGCTGTTTGCCAAACAGATAACAATCCCATTTATGAATTACGACTGGCAACTCCATGGGAGTATGGATCCTGCAAAGATTCGTCTGCTGTTTATCTGAACTCTTTTTCATTTTATTCATCCATTTGAATTTCCTGGAGTTGACTGCCACAATGAGACTGTAGATGTTGGTGTTTGATCCAAATGTCAGAAGCATTCAGGTCTCGGTCTCTCTCTCTCTCTCTCTCTCTCTCTCTCTCTCTCTCTCTCTCT